CACAAACCTTTTCTCATACTCTCTTCTGTAATCTTCCTGCATCTAGGTTTATCTGATGCTTAGATGATTCTGGAGATTAATTCAGACAAAGAATTATTGCCTCATTCCTGACAGAAGCCTAGAAGGTTTCACCATGATTCTCTCTGAGCTGTAACCTTCTTCAGTATTATAATGTGTGGTGGTTTGAAAGAAAATGGCCCCCATAGGCTCAAAGGGAGTGGCACTATGGGGAGGTGTGGCCTTGTTGGAGTAGGTGTGGCCTTGTTGGAGGAAGTGTGTCACTGGGGAGCCAGGCCCAGTGTCTCTCTCTCTTCCTGCTGCCTGCGGATCCAGATGTAGAGCTCTCAGGTACCTCCCCAGTACCATGTCTGGCTGTGCCCACCAGGCTTCCCATTCTGACATTAAAGAACTAAACCTCTGAGCTGTAAGCCAGCCCTAATGAGATGTTTTACTTTGTAAGAATTGTCGTGGTCATGGTGTCTCTTCACAGCAATAGAAACCCTAACTAAGACATAGTGTATACTATATTGTAAGTTGTCATGTGCTGTTTGAGTTCACTGAGAAGCAGAGTCTGGAAGTCGAGCTGCCCCCAGTTTCAGATCCAGGTGTGTTTGTCTCATAGTGTCCTCCAAAGGCCCTTTGTCTGGGCATGGGCTGCCCACCACCCATTCTATGCCAGGCAAGGAAGACAACAGCAAAAGGTTCTAAAGTAAAGCACTGTGCCCTTGAGAACAGGGCAGGTTTCCCATTCCAACAGATGTTACTATCGCGCATCCATCCATGACACCAAAGTGCCTGCCATGGGAATGTGAAGTCAAGAGTCCAGCCATGGAGAGAAAGCTCAACTGGGAACTCCAGCTGGCCTCAACTTCCTCGCTAGGTCCTAGGGAACGCTGTGAGCACACAATTTGATGACACTATTTCTATATATTGCTATTTTTTGGTTATTCACTTGGCAGTACATCTACTCTGACCAGACTCTCTTGGCCAAGTGTTTTTATTAGGCTAAACTTGTTCCATGGACCCTTCTACTTGTTCAAAAGTACTATGTTTCTTGAGCAAGTGCCAACTAAAGAGTACAGCAGACACCAAAAGACTCATTTCTTTCTAAATCATGGAACATATCAGCTTAACTCAGTAGTAATAACGAGATGAGCTGACCTGAAATGCAATAACTAGCTAGCTAAATGCATGACCATATCCAAAATATTCTCGTTTAGGTGTGGTGGTACACACCTTTATTCCCAGCACTTTGGAGGCAGAGGCACGCTGATCTCTACGAGTTTGAGGCCAGTCTGGTCTACAGAGGGAGTCAGGACTGATAGCATTACATAGTGAGAGACTGTCTCAAAAATACTTTAAGATTATATTATGTACTTTTCACTTTTAGTCTAAAAATGAGTTTGTTAGCGGGGCTCGCTGGCTCCCCGTGGATTTCCAGCTGTGCCCTCTGACAACTCACCTGAGCACTTGGCTCCTAGTTCTCTTACTGTACGTGGGAAGGAAGGGGGCTGCTTGCGCCAGCACTGAAGCTAGATTGGCTGGAGGAATTAAACTGGTGGATATGTGGCAAGTTTTTAAAGAGTGCCTGATGCACAGTAAATATGGAAACATGTTCTGTATGATAATGATACTGTTAGTAATTATAATTGAGCAGGAATTTTCCTTAAGGTAGGATTAAACTGAGTTTACTTTGGTCTAAAGTTCCCAGGTGGGTAAAGTCTACTGATTAGTATTTTCTGAAATAGTAGAACACATTGAGGATGTTGGCTGCAGGCAAGGCTCTGCTGCTCCACGTGCCAGGGAGGCCCAGGACTGAAGATGCCCAAGACACCAAATGAGAAGTCACAGCAGGGGGATGCTCACTACCACCCAGCCTATTTGTCCCCAATTCTGATAACTCCTCCAGATACACATCAAAGCTGCTCTGATATTTAAAATTCTATATATCTGCTTATATGGGGCTCTTCGCTACATACTATTTATTTTAAAAGATAGAGAATAAGTTCTCACAAAATGCAAGATTTCACTCCTCTTTCTAATTACGAAGGGCAGCCAAATAGTCCTTGAATTGCTGGGGAATATTTTATAGACTGTGAAGTTGGAGAAGATAGCATGAGGCCTCACATTTCCATTGACTTAATGGGTATTTCCAAACACACATGAGGAAATCAGAAAATTGGGTATTTTGTACATATACACCCCATTACAGGTTGTGGCAGTCTCTGGAGGCAATCACAGCAATCGTGCCTATGCATAGGTGGTTTCCAGTTAAGTAACTGTGGTTTCAGATTCATTTCCAACTTGTTATCTTATAGGAATTCCAGACAGGAATAGCAGAATGAAGAGTCTCACTAAGCTACTGCCCAGTATTAAAGCAAATAGGTACTTGAGGGCTTCTTCAGAGGATGTGTAATCACATCTCGTGTGAATTGATCTTAAAATGGGAAAGTTGGGCATCTGCAAGGTTGAGTCCATTCATGAAACTGTTTGTCCAGTGGTGCAACCACATGGATTTATGTGCACAAGCAGGTACTATGAATGTGAACTTGAGTTGTCCCACAATGGAGGACAGTTCAAGGCAGATGGATGAAGCAGATTTTTAAATACAACAACAGGTCTAGGATGGTGACTGGCTTCGTTGGCTCTGACAAAGTCATCTAACGGAGAGGGTGTATAGAAGGTTGTTATTCAGTGAGAAAGGTCAAAGCTGGTCTGTTGAATGCATGACTGTGCATGGTGTCAGCCTTGGAGTCTATCTGAGAAAGGGGTGAAGAGAGAAGATTAGTTATGTAGGCAGAAAAAGTCAGAAAAGGGCAAGTGGAGCTGTCCCCTGTTATCCATGGTGGGTGTGCTCTGAACTCCCCTGTGGATGCCTGAGGGTACAGGGTGTACCTAACTCTATATAGATTACTGTTTTCCTCTTCATGCATACATACCTATGGTGAAGTTTAATTTATAAATTAGACATAGTAAGAGATTAAGAATAACTTATAAAAAGAAAACACACATGAAAATACACTGTAATAAAATGTATGGCAATGTGTTTTCACTTACTCTCTTTCTTAAAACACCGTGTAGGAATGCACTCATCTTTTTTCTAATAATGCTAGCCCCATGAGATGAAGTGAGGTCAAGATACAGGTTTGTGATGTAACATGAGACTATGACATGAAGGCACTTCAGCACAAACATTGTCGTCCCAAGAAAGTCAAGGTGATAACCTCATTGGCTCCCACTGGTAGGAGCATAAACAACAAACGTGGGCGCACTGGTTGAAGGGTGGATTGAGATTTCAGGTTCAATAGAGAGGAAGGGAGAAATTACATCTTAGCATGTTGCACAATTTAAAAACCACGTGTGTGTTGTTTATTTCTGAAAGTTTCCGTTTAGTATTTTCACACTGTGGTGGAAGAGGGTTGGTAGTTGGGACTCCAAAACGTGAAACCACAGGCACGGTGGCATCATGTCACAGCAAAAGTCACAGAGTGACTATTGGGGAGAACACTGCATTATCCTTCTCTCTCACTTCTCCACAGGTAAAGGTTTTGTGTATGTTTAAATAGGGCATACAAACATGTCCCCTCCCCCAGTGTATGAGAAATGCTAATACCAGAGAGTATTTTCATTTTTCCTTTCCAGAGCAATGAAAGTGTGTGTGGGGGGGAAGGTTTAAAAATATATTTTTGCTGTTTTCATTATTTCTTATTTCCTTAGGAATGCTGCTTTTGTAGCAAGCGCTGTCTAAAATGAGCTTTGAGTGATGTGAGAATAGGCGTTTATCTTTTCTCTCTCTCAGAAAAAGATAATTTCAGGGTCTCTAAGTTGCACGGAATCCACTGTACCCAGTACTGAACACTTTAATTTATATAATTTAGATTACTCGGCTAAGGGGATGGTCTAGAGGCATAAAGAAATGGGGTGGAAAGTGGGCAAAGGTTGGTGTGCAGAGTTGAATACTGCTGCTGATGTGGCCTCACTGCAGTTCACCCACTCATGTGAGATGTGGAGGAGATAGGGCGGGTGTGTGCAGAGTGAAGCAATTTATGAATACTCAGCCATGAAATGGAAAATCAAAATGAGACACGTATGACTATAAGGATCTCGGTCTATTAATATTCAAATATTAAGACCTAGCTTTCTTTGCAAGACAGCTGAATATTTACTGATCAAAAAATGATAGCGTAGGAAGAGAAACATATTTAAGAAAAACATTTCCACAGGATTTGATTGACATGTGGTTTGCTTAAGTCAGGGCAGTAGTTAACTAATTAAAATGTACTTCTCATCTGAATGTGTCTTTAAATTTAAGAACCCTTGGAAAAAATTTCCAAAGTGCATTACAACTTTTCATAAGGGTGACACATGGTCCTATTTTCCAAAGACTTTGATTTAATATTTGAATGCAATGGCATTTGACTTTGTTAGTATAGAGTATTTAAACTTAAGAAGAAAATACCTTAATTTGCTTATGCATAAGCCTATTAAAAACATTTCTAGGGGCTCTTGTTATGTTTATTCTCTAGAACATAACCTGTCTTTGAAGTGGTATATTAGTTCTTAAAAAGTTATTCCCAAGCTGAATAATTAGACTGCAAACCAAAGCTATTCTTAGAGTGCATTCCGCACAGAAAACACTGCACATGGAGCTTTGATTCAAGTAAGATTCTTATAAAACTGTTATTGTTAGAGCTCTATATTCAGAACGGCAACTTTTGGTTTTGATGATTATTCCATCCTGAAACAATTGCCCCCTTTCCAATTAAGGCAGAATTAAGAGCACATTTCTATCTGATGATGTTTAGAAATGAGGACCTGCTTGGTTGTGCTCATTTGTCTCTTCATGGGGGGCTCAACCTCCTTCCTCCTCCCCCTACCCCCCCCCAGGAAAAAAGAAAAGAAAGAAAATCAATCCCCTGAAGCTTTTCCTGGAAGAGAAAGGTGGCCTTTGTTGTTTTGATCTTAGCATGTTGTGCATTTTTACTGGCTGCTAAAAAAAAAAAAAAAAAAAAGCCAGAGCTTCATCTGTTTTTCTGCTCTATTGTTATATTGTAAATCACGGAATGCCTCCAGATCGATAGTAAAATGCCTATGCCCAAACATTTCACAATGGATTCATCATCACAGTAGATAGGGAGATTCAGGAGTAAGAACACCACCCAGTCATCTGACGCATGTGCCACAGACTGCTAAGAATAGATGCTTGCATGGTAGATGATAGATGCCAGGATTTGGATACATAGTTCTCTCCATTTTTGACCCCCTTATTTTACATGCAAGAGGCTTTCTTGGTTAATGTAACAGCTGGCTACATTATTGCTTCCATGGTATAAGTCATGATGCCAAAACAGCTCTTTCTCCAACATTTAAAAGCACATCAAGTTGTTTACATGTCTCCTTGAGATGATTTTCCAATAACTTTGTGCCAATTGCTGTCATACTCTTTGGTTTAGAAAAAAATCTTCATTCAATCAAGACAACTTCACTTAGTTAAATTTCCCCCATACAGAGAATTGTAGGAAAATTACAGTAGTTGATTTCAGGCCATCATCATTAAGTCAATGCAGGGCTTTAGAAAATGAATGCAAATTACAAATGTGGAGCTGTGTAATTAAACATCAAATAGTCCAAGTGGTAAAAGTCATAGAGGAGCTGTCTCTCCGCTCTACTCAGGTCCTTTAAATACTGCCTTACCACTCGAGCACTGGTTCTTTCATCAGAGGAGTGTCTATCCTTAAAGTTTGGAAATTTCAGCTCCTTTGGAGCACCAATCAGCTGGAGAAAGTAATTGGCATCTTCTTCTAATGATTCAAACTTCCCTACAAAGCTGTAGTTGATCAAACATGGATAACACAGTTTGCTGACCCTTTCCCAGTGGATATCCATTCCTACTGGACGGTGTGCATCCAGCAAATAGTAGACGAATTCTTTGAATTTCACTCCGGATCCATTATTTAATGTTTCTGCATAGACATTTGGTCGGTATTTCTTTATAATTGCCTTCCCAAATACTGGATGGTAGTAACTATTGGGATGCTCGAATTTATCTCTAAATGCTGACACTAATCTTTCCAAGGGATCTCGAACAAATACAACTTTGGTATAGGTATTCAAACGCATGTATATTCCTTTTAAGTCAAAGCTATTTAATGTCTTCAGATGCTTCCCATAGTGCACAGTGCCATGAGAAATATTGTACGCAGAGGAAGCCAATCCACTTAGGACCATCAGAACCCTTTTCCAATTAGAGCAACCAGCCTTTGGTACTTCACAGTACAGGATTTTGTGTTTGTCTTCTACATAGATCCTGGATACCATTTGAAAAATGTTGGACTGGGGATCATTTACTCCACTGTATTTCTTGCAAAACTCATGAAGGAAAGACCTACGTTTCTCTTGGGTTGCACCTGCTTTCTGCCATCTGTGGCCTTGGACTGAACTTGTGTTTAAGGGCTGAGTGACCAGTGGCCAGTTCATTTCAATGGGCTCAGCTCCTTGATGTGTTCCTATTGAGTTATCTGTTGATGACTGGGGAGCTCTGTTCTCCCCTTGTGAATAGCTGCTTTTCCTTAAAACCCTAGTGGGTCTCCCCAAGTTGATTGGATTTCCTGTTTTCTTGTTTAGGTCCTCAGGCATGTATACCTCGGAGTTCTGTTAAAACAGGAAAAAGACATATTAGATGCACATTCAGAAGCGTGTGGATAGTAGATAAAGAACCTCGCATATTTGTTTTCAGATGTTACAGAGAAGAGCATCCTAAGCATAAGCTGGGAGAAACAATTTAGCAAGGCAGGCTGAATATACATTTTATAGTAAGATTTTTTTCACAGAAAATCCAGCAATAGAAAACAAAAATTAGTATCCTTAAGACAGAGATGAAAGGGCCCTGGGAATTCTGTCTTGATTTTGCCTGTAATGCAATGAAATAAACCTCAGTCATTCAGTGCCTTAGTGAATCACCGAGTCTGCTATTTCCAAGTAGTATTACTGAATGGACATGCAACCCAGAGCTATATTTAGACAGCAATCTTTTGTTGTTTTAGGGGTAGGTACTTTGTAATATATAGAAAAGTTCAAATTCATAAACTACACCTTAAAAATTGTAATAAGACTAATTATCAAACCCTAACAAATATTTCAGTTTCATCAGCATTTACCAAAAGTAATGTATTTGTTCATTTGAAAAATTTTATTTTCAATTCATTTATCATGACAATGTGAGTTATAGTCACAATATCATATACTTTTATTCATGTATAAGACTGTCCATCTTCCTGACTTGAAGAAAAAGTCAAGAATTCAGAATGATATCTTTGATGTCTTATTGTGTAAAATTATATTAAAAGTAGATTGAGCTATTATTCCCCTTGCCTGACTTACTAGCCCACTTTCTAAGTGGTTATCTTTTGATTATTTCCTTCCTCTAACTTTCATTGGCTGGGATAGGGAAGCCATGGAACTTGGGATTTATATGTGGCATTTCTAATAAGAACAAAACTCTTAAAGACATTGGCTTTTACTCTGAGTAAGCTAAGGAGCTATTGGAGGGCTGTGAACATAGAGTGGGCATGATCTCACTTAGACTTGGAAAAGAGAGGTGATAAATGTTTAGGATCTTCAATGTGTTATTGGGAAATTTACAAATAAAGGATGTATTGAGAGGGTATTACACGGCACAGCCAGAGTACAGGAAGAGGAAGTGGGAAGACTCCTTAAGATTTATTATTTATATCCCCTGTGTCTACAATGGTCTGTAGCTGATGGTAGTTGCCCTCAAATGTTGCAGACGAATGGACTTCAGTCTTCAAAGATAATTAAGAATTTTCTCCTAATTGAGTAAAAGGGCAGAGAAACAAGTACTGGAGGCACCTTCAGACAGAGTGGGCCTCCACCAACTTAAACAGAAGATGGTCGAGAGGAGTTTGTGAAGTGTCTCTAATGATCATAAACCAGCTGTCTAGCCTAATGGAAGAACTGCCTCAGATCGTCTCAATTGTTAAGCCACCTAGTTGAGGTCTCAACTCTAAAGCTATTTATCTGCTATCTTTCCCAGAGATTGCCAGGATTCTTCAAAGCCCCAGTTCCTTCTTTGTTCTGATCAATGATTTATGGTCCATAAAGTTGTCATCAATTATATATGACTTTTCTGTATGTTGGAAAGATCACACAGTTATTGGCAGATGTGCATGAGAAATACTTCACAGAGGACATGTGGAGGCCCACAGAAGTTTCCTAGTGAGATCTGAGCTTGTTTTACCCAGCAAGGCTGCATTAGAGGGTTGCTCGACCATGTGCATTGTTACTAGGTGATTGGAAGGGTCTACACCTAGCTGAGCTAGGGGAAGGTCTTTGCTCCACCCCTTGGAATTCTTATAAACAGCCATTTAGAAGAGACAGAAGGGGTCAGTGGATAATGATCCAGACCCTCCAGAGGCTATCCAGTGTTTCTATCTGTCTCTCTCTCCTCTATATTTCTATCTCAATCTCTTATCCTTCTCTCTCCTCGAGTACCATAGAGAAAAAATGGAAGCTGGTCTCCCACAGGACTGTAACAAGCTGCCATGATTATGTATATAACTAACGCCTCTATTATCACTACAAATAAAAATTAATTATTGTTTTATTATTATTAATTATTGTTACTTCAAGAAAAGTAGTAACACTATTTTATCACCATGCTAAAATGAATTTCAAGTTTCCTCACTTGTTCATTACTCTCTAGACTGTGATTTGTGTGTCTCTGTATGTGACTTAATTAGTTACAAATTCTTGCCTCACAAATAAACCCAAACAAAAAGAAAATCAGGCGTCTGCTGTGCCTTCTAGACCTCCGTCATCATCAAATTCCCCTTCCATTTTCAGAATTCTAGAATTTTTTTTGTTTTTTGTTTTTCGAGACAGGGTTTCTCTGTGTAGCTTTACGCCTTTCCTGGATCTCGCTTTGTAGACCAGGCTGGCCTTGAACTCACAAAGATCCACCTGCCTTTGCCTCCCGAGTGCTGGGATTAAAGGCGTGCGCCACCACCACCCGGCTAGAATGTTTTTCTTATAATTTTCTCTTATTAGGTTCCATATTGTGCTCACTTTACCCTTTCTCAAGCAAATGAAACTTCATTGTCTGGAGCCAAGTGTCCCTTGGGCCAAGAAGTAAGGGGCTATTCCCCTCCCGTCCAATCTGCTTCCAGGTTAGCTCCCAGAGAGACCTCTGCTCCTGTGAAACGTGGGTTCTGTGGAGTCTCTTCACCTTTATCTTGCCACAGCTCTCTGCTTCATGTCTTGGTGACTCTGGCTCCTAATTCAGACGCTGCATCTTTACTTCTCTTATTAACCCTACATATCGTAATCAATACGCAGTGAGCTCAGCTCCTTAGCCACCTCATCTGTAACAGAAGACCTCTGCGCGTCACATACAGGAATGATGCCTGAGCCATCTTCATCGTTTCTCTGAGCACCGCTGCCTAACGGTCCAGCTCACTGTGGCTTCCCATTGTGCAATCCTTTGGTGACTTGAACTACATACTCAGGCTTCTGGCAGACGCACAGGGCGTTCTTCATCATTTACTTCTCAGGAAGCTCCTCTAATGAAGCTTTTCCGAGCCTTGCTTCTTGTGATCCTCTCACTGCACGCTGCTGTTGTTCTCCACAGTACTAATAACCACGTGAAATGACTTGATTCACTTCTATTCTTTCCATTCAACTCCACCCCAACCCATTAGAATATTACCACCGAGGCCTTAATACCTTGTTCTCTGTGGTTCAAGCAAGACATAATTACTGACTTAATAAATGTGATGGTGACTTAGTGATGATTTCCAAATTTTATTGCCTTATTAAAAAATAGTGCTCATCAAAAGGTCAAGGTAGACTTAGATAAATAATCGACTGATTCTTGTAAGGCACCAAATATCTGTGCTCAAACAAGTCTTTGGCGGAAGAGAAAAGGAACAGTCACAGGAAGAGCCATTTGTACTATGGTGGGTGTGGGGTGTAGAGCTTTGTCTGCCTGCCCAATCAGATGGGTCCGTCACTTGGAATTGCTTTGGAGCCTCAGCAGGGCTTGTCACCATTCTGGGTCCCCGGGCCTCACTGCTGACACAGTGAAGCAGAGTCTCTGTGGGTGAGGCTCCCAACTGTAATCAAACAAGCTCTCTTGGAGTTCCATAGGCAGTGGTGACATTTGGTGACCACACAACTTCAGTACCAAAGGGAATTCAGAAAAGAAAGAATGTGGTCTGAAGATTTCTTCTCCTTCTATAGGGAAAGAATGCTTTACAGTGGACACGAATACTTTAAAGACGAGACAGAACTCAAATGTAAGGTCAGACGCCATGCCAGGCTGTGAGTGGGACAGACAGATTGCTTCCTGTTTATCCACCCTTGTCAGTTGTCTGTGATCACCAAGCAGCTTTCAAGCAATAAGTTCAACAGAATGAGGGAAAGGCTCACCACGTACTAAGGGTTAGACTTCTGACTCTTCATAGATTTTTCTCTCCAGGCCAGCCAATTTCTTTTACTCTGGCCAAACTGAGGTATAGGAAAAAAGCTCGTTCTTGAAAGTGAGATGGCAAGAGGTTCACAAAGTGCTTCCAGATCTTCTCCCAGAACCCGTCCCATCATTCCTATTTACTCTATAAAAGCTGTTCTCAGGGTTTGGTGCCTTCCTGCCCTGCCATTCCACTCAGATCTGACTCCTTCCAGTTCTAGCCAAAGCTTTCCAGGACTGAGGGATTTTAATATTAAACTATAATATGTGGTGGTATTTTACTTGTACTGAAATGTGATTTTAATTGTATGTTAATAAATAAAGTTGTCTGGGGGTCAGAGCTATCAGAGTCATAGCAAGTGCATGGCGTCGGTGGCGCACGCCTTTAAGGACCTGGAGGGCGGTACATTCAGGCAGTGACGAGGCAGTCACATGTTTGGGTTTACAACCAATGACAAGGCAGAACAGGAAGACTTTAAGGACAGACACACAGGAAGTAGGTCCTTTTCGGAGAGCTCTCTTGGCTGGAGAGGATCCCTGAATCAGGAAGGGTGAGGCTCTTAGCTCTGACCTCTTGGCTGTCTTCTCTGAATTGGCTCTGTGTTTCTTATTTTATAAGACCTTTGGTTACATCTACATTTGGCGCCCAACGTGACAAGAATCCATTAAAAACCGCTTAACTTGGCTTGGCGGCAGGTCCGGTCTCCCGCCAGGGCGGCCGGCAGGTCCCGTTTCCCGCCAGGGCGGCCGGCTCCCTAGCCCGGGCCCAGGTCGGCTTGGCCTCAGGCCAGACTAACTTTGAGCTACTTGCTTAAAGCCGGTGCTACAGACAATTCAGGCCTGCCCTGCCGAACAGGGCCCCTGCCTGTAAAGCCAACATACGTGGTTGGAGCTTAAGGTAGCCAGAGCCAAGGCTTGACTAGGCTCAAGCGGGAACACGTGGCTGGATTCAAGTTCTTAGGCAGAACTTGTGGCTACGGTTCTTGCGTGTTCTCTTTCTCTCTCTCTCTCTCTCTGGATTCACACCTCGGACACTAGGAGGCTGTTTTGAAATTCCCTTGGATTGGTACTGTTCTACGAGGACTCGGTAAGTCACTTAACATATCGAATATTTTAAAGGAAACTATTTAAAAGAGAAATTTTTTCCACATTTAAAAAAAATGGGTTT